GCTGCCCAGAGGGAGCTGCTGGGGAAGCTGGTGTTTGTCCTCAGACGTGATGTGGGTACAAGGTGGTGGCTGGGAGTGGGAGAGGGCAGGTTCTGTGCTGATGCACCTGCACGAGGACCCCAATAATGAGAAATCGTGCTGCAAGCAAGGAGTCCCAGCCCTGCAGGCCATGCTGATGGGATGGTCCAGGCTGTGGGAGCACTGGGGAGATCGTTTCAGAACCCCAAAAGACCCTGGTTTATGTCCTCTTTGATTACTGCTGCATTAGAGGGCTAAAGGTTCATCCCTGAGCAGTGACTCTTGGTGACGTTTGTATTTTCCCGATTCCAGGCCGTCCCCAAAATCTTCTCCTCTGGCCTGGACATCACTGAGATGTGTGGGAAGAGCACGGAGCACTACGCTGAGTTCTGGAGAGCCGTGCAGGAGATGTGGCTCCGGCTGTACGGCTCCAACATGGTGACGGTGGCTGCAGTCAACGTAAGTCCTTTAGATCCACCTCCCCGGTCGCCCTGTGCAGTCTGTTGCTTGCTGCGACTTGTCTGCGGCGCGTGGGCAGGGACAGCCCAAAAAATCAGGCTTGTCAGCACTGAAACGAAGGCAGGGATGTGTTTGTTGGGATGTCTGGGCAAAGTACGTGTCTGTTGGGGTGTGGGAAGGTATGGAAGCGTGGGATGTTGCAGGCTCCGTGTTATCTGCCGGCGCTGCTGGGGTATCGCAGCATTTTGGCTGCGGTGGAGAGCTCTGCGGGGCGCTTGTGTCCTGCTGATGGGGGCTGAGGTGCTCTTTGTGCAGAAAAGGCCATGCTCTGCCCCAAGAACTCAGCTGGGGACTGTCTTCCAGGTTGGAGGACCAGGAGAAAGGGCTGTAGGTCTGTGGTAAAGCCCAGAGGGGCATCGCTGGCAGATGAGTGCTGGAGAAGCTGAGGGGCTGGCGTAGGAGGAGTCCAAAGGACGCCTGTCACGTGCCTCCTGGCTGCTTTCTCACGGATGAGACTCGTAGGAGTTGCCCAGGGTCACGCTTTGGCAGAGGGGAGGAGATGGGAGGCAGCCACGTGGTGCCACAGGTGCTTGTCCTTGGCCCTGTGGGCAGCGATGCTTCAGACCCCAGGAAGCGCAGTTTGTCCTGAGACCTTTTTTCACCAGATTTTCTCCTCTGGCTGTGGTTCTTGGCCAGCAGGGGAGTGCTGTCTGAATCTCGGTGTCCGGAGATGGGTTGTTACCTGCTTGGTGTCTCCTTTTCATTTTTGGGGGAAGTGCTTTGGCAGTTCCCGGCTCTGTGTCTTCCCATAGACCATCTCTGAGGGCAGCTGGGTCGGGAAGTGCTTTGGCAGTTCCTGGCTCTGTGTCTGCCCATAGACCATCTCTGAGGGCAGCTGGGTCTCCGAGCGGCTTCCCACAGGCATCCTCTGCAGGGGCTAAGGGAGCACCGAGTCATAGAATCACAGAATGGTTTGGGTTGGAAGGGACCTTACAGATCATCCAGTTCCAACCCCCTGCCCTGGGCACCCTGCCCAACCTCCCACTAGAGCAGGTTGCTCAAAGCCCCGTCCGGCCTGGTCTTGAGTCATGGCTGGTTGCAAAGGGAAGTTTTATAGACGGAAGGTGTTGCAAAGCCCCTGGACGAAATCATTTTTGTGGCATTTAGGGCCACAAACTCAAGTAGGTTTAAAAACTCGTGTAAGGTTACAAGAAAATGCTGTAGCAAATCTCTGCTGCAGGGTTTGCAACCCAATATCATGAATCGATTAGCTAGATTTCCCAGCTGGAAAAATGAAAGAAGCAAAGAGCATTGCTGTGGCATTTAGGGTCACAAACTCAAGTAGGTTAAAAAACTCATCTAAGGTTAAAAGAAAATGCTGTAGCAAATCTCCGCTGCAGGGTTTGCAACCCAAGTAACACGGATCAATTAGCTAGATTTCCAGGCTGGAAAAATGAAAGAAGCAAAGAGCATTGAAAAATGAAAGGATAGGTTTATCAGGTTTATCAGAAAAATTCTTTCGGGCTGTTTTGAGTTGGGTGGTCAGAGATGTGAGGGACATCTCTGTCACTCTGTGTCTTCCCTGCTCTGGAGAAAACAGCAAGGCTGGGGGTGCAGGGACCTTTGTGACCGTGACCTTGACTCACTCCATCCTTCTCTTTGCCAGGGGTCCAGCCCGGCGGGAGGCTGTCTCATGGCCTTGTCCTGTGACTACAGGATCATGGTGGAGAACCCCAAGTTCAGCATCGGCCTGAACGAAGCCCAGCTGGGCATTGTGGCTCCCTTCTGGTAGGCCAGCGCCTCCCACTTCTAGCGTCACGTGTAGGTCTCTAAAATGAATTCACCTTCGAGGAGTTTATTAATCCATTTAACTGGCCGCTGAGATGTAGTTTTGTGTGTCAGTGATCAGGTGCTTGCAGCTGCAGGAGACAGCACCTCATTTCTCTGTCCTGCCCTGCAGGTATCTGAAAAGCTTTCAGGCTGCAGAACATCCTCACATCCTTCACCAACGAGGACCTCAGTTCTGACTCTGCATTCGACTCCCAAACTAGTGCTGGGAGATCTCCCTGCTCAGTCTGGGAATGTTCTTTTCTCTGGATACACACTGTGTACCTGCAAGATCCCAGAGCTGTGGAGATCTCTGAAGGCGTAGGGACACTAATATATGAAGACACAGGCCCTTGTTGCCCTGGGAACCTGTAAATGTGCTGCTGGAAAGGAGCTTTCACACCAGAGCACGTGGGCAGAGCTGGGACCTCTGTGCTGAGGGTAAATAGAGCAGCTCTCCTGGAGAAGAGGGGAACTCTGTTGGGGTAGTACCAAAAAAGGCTCTGCCCGTAGCTGCCCTTTAGAGACCCGTGCCTGGGGAGTGGGACCAAACGTGCTCTTTGCTTCCATGTCTGGGTGCAGCTGCCACTGGGTGTTTCTTGCCCTGACCCCGGCTTTTCCTCCCGTCTTTTCTAGGTTTAAGGACACGTTTGTGAACGTTGTGGGACACCGAGTTGCTGAACGCTCCCTCCAGCTGGGCTCCCTCCACCCCGCACCCGAAGCCCTCAAGTTTGGCCTCGTGGACGAGCTGGTGCCAGAGGAGAAGCTCCAGGAGAGGACTGGGGCTGTTTTGGCCCAGTGGCTGGCCCTTCCTGGTAAGGGTGGCACCTCCGGGCAGAGGAAGGGGGAGTCTGATCTGGGTGGGAAAGGCAGGTACTGGGGCTGGTACCTGGGAGCTACGGAATAGTTTCCATTGAAAGGGAAGGTGTGGATGGCTGGGGGGTAGGAAAGCTCAACACAGCACTCCAGGCAACCTTGGGCTAACAGAGATGGGCTTGCCAGTGGCCCCGCGTGGGAGGACATCATGCTGGGCGAGCAGGGCATGTGGTTCCAGCTTGGCTTGCCCTGCCAGCCCTGCTGAGTCAATCTGGAGGTGCCTGAGCTCCAGATGCAGATTGAATCTCCGTGTCTGTCAGTGGAGGTGTTACCCCAGGAAAGCTGCCATGGAGTTGAGGGAACAGGCTTGGGGCGAGAGTGCTTGGGTGGCTACCAGTCCACCTCTGTGGTCTGGATCAACTCTGGGTGCTCTCCTAAGCTGGGGATGGTGATGGGGGTGTGAGGACAAACATCACATGCATGTTTGGGCTGCTCTGTGACTGGCAGCACCTGGTTCCTGTGCTGGGAGAGAACTCTCTGCTGGCCGGGGCTGGACCTGAGTTATGCCACCCCATGCCACCTGCACAGAAGGTGCACCTAGATGTCACCCTTCAGCTGCTTTTTCGGTAATCTGAATGAAACTGGGCAGAAATGGAGACGTCCCAGACTGACACTTTGTGTTCCCACCTTGAAAGAGGGTTCCTAAACAGCTTTCTCCAGTGCTGTCCTGGTGTTGGAGTGACACCTCAGCCCCCAAGAGCGGGGAGAACATCTCAGCTGTGTTCTCTCCTGACTCCCGGGAGGCACCGTGCGGATCCTTCCCTGGAGTCAGGGGGAGTCTCTGCAGGTGGAGGTGTCTGTAGCACAGGGATGGGTGTTGGGGTGATTCGGGGTTCCCAGCTCACGGTGGGGGGGGTTGATCATCATTTCACCGTCACGGTCAGAGCACACTGAGACCGTGCAGGCAACGTCAGGGTTGAGGGAACTTAGAGCCAGAGCAGTTTCAAACAGCAGGGGATTTTGTTCAGTTGCTGCCGTCCCGAGGCTGGTGGTGTGTGTTGGGGTGGGAGCTGGGCTCTGGAGAGCACAAAGAGAAGGAGGAGCACAACATTTTGTCATCTGTCCCAGCAGATCAGCCGTTTCCCCACTGCGCGGTACAGATCATAATTTATTTTATGAGAATTTATCCAGTTCAGCTTCCAGCCGGTGGGTTTTTCTTCCACCTTTCCCTGCTGGTTTAAAGAGCCCTTTGGTGTGTGGTACCTCCCCTTTGGAGACACCTGCACGTGGTGCCAGTGGCCGAGAGCTGGTTGGGGGTGAGGACCGTGTGCGTTCCCCCATCCTGGCTCTCCTCTCCACAGACCATGCCCGTCAGCTCACCAAGTCCATGATGAGGAAGGCGGTGTTGGACCGCCTGGTAGCTCACCGGGAGGAAGACATTCAGAACTTCATCAGCTTCATCTCAAAAGAGTCCATCCAGAAGTCACTTCGCATGTACATGGAGATGCTGAAGAAGAAGAAGGGCTGAGGAGCCAGCCGGCTGGGGCCCGGTCCCAGGAGCTTCAGTAACCCTCTGAGATGCTGCAGTAGCTGTAGACTTTCACGGTGAAGCCATCTGCAGTGTCAGGAGCTGGTGACGTGCTGCCTGCCTGCTCCTGTGGCCACCCCAACCACCCCTTCCCCTTAGTCCCCATAGAGTGCCTGACACCACCGCTGCCTTTCCTGGGAGCGGGGAGAGCTGCCTGTTGGCTCCCCCGAGGAACGGACAGGGAGAGGGTCGTGACACCGCTGTGACCCAAGCCCACCGGTCCTTGGGTATCCTCCTTCCTGTCCAACAGCTAATTGTGAAATGAGATTTGTCAATAAAGTCTTTCATGAGGTAGGAGATGGATGCTTCGTTCCTCAGCTTGTCTGCGGTCACCGCTTCCTGGCTGGTGGCCTGTCCATGGGCTGCGGTTCGTGGTGGGCTGAGGGGGGGTCTGGGGACAGCTGGTGACCCTTCTCCAGACCAGGACCCGGAGCAGCCCACGCATGGAGCTCATGGATGGGGCTGCGGGGAGGACCTTCATGGGGGTTGGTGGTGGGAGCTGGATCTGGATCGTGGTCTGTGGCCGCAGGAGGAGCTCAAGCCGTCAGCTTCACCTCCACCGGGTAGTGGTCGCTGACTGCCAGGGCCTGGAGGAGAGCGAGAGGTGGGGAGGTGTAACGCAGGGGTTCGCTGAGCCCCTCGCTGGGGCAGCAAGGTGGCTGTGATTGCCCTGCCAGAACCTTCTGGAGGGACATAAAATGTCCCCAACCCCAAGACACTCAACACAGAAGGCTCCAGTTTCAGCAGAGATGCGCAGGTATGACCTGGGGTGGGCGATGGCAGGGGCACATCTGCCCTCCCAGACCCCTGTGTCTCCCTTGGGCACTCTGTGCCAGCTATGGGTGGTGGAAGATCAACATGGATTGCCCCATGCTCTGGAGTCCTGCCCATGAAAGGCCACAAAAAACCCTGTGGATTTCATCTCTTTCCCCCCTGGGGACAGGCAATGATCCTTGGTCCCCCTTCCTCTCTCCACCCGTGGGTCCCTTGTCACCCCAAGCTCCCCATCAACAAGCGTTGATGCCTGTTTGAGCCCCGGATCTGTGAACCCAGCTCACCTCCTCCTCCTCCAGCTGGAAAGCTCGCTGGAAATTGTAGACGCCAGCCGAATTTGGCACGATGCTCTTCTTCAGCTTGGTACCGCACACCACGATCCTGCCAGGGAGACATGGGCAGTGGGTCCGTCTCCTGCCCCTGCTCTCGGCTGCTGGTGGTGCAGGACGGGTGGTCCTAGGGTGCAGGGGAAGGGGACGGTGGTGCCACGGTGGCACTTACCTGTCGTAGGCACAGTCTGACCTCCCCACGGTGGTGTCGGTGCCGTCGGGGATCAGCCACTTGAAGACGTCGCTGGTGCGCAGGCGGATGGAGGACCAGTCGTTTGGCTGGACGTAGCTGCAGTCGGCATTGAAGTCCCCCAAAAACATGATGTTCTGCAGCGGGGAGATGGGGGAGCTCGTGGCGGCTGGGGAATGGGGCTGCCCCCGACACCAGCCCTCCCGTGGGGGCCAGCCCCAGTGTCAGGTCAGCCCTGGGTGCTGGGACATCCCCCATGGCAGGGGACGGGGCAGGACCATGGTCCTCATCCCACCACCCTTCTTCGTCTCTGAGCAGAGACCCAACATGGGTTGAATGGTCCCTGAGGCTCAGTGTCCACCCTCACTGTCACCCCCCCGTGCCGGTGGCACTCACATCAGTCCCCCACTTGTTGATGATGGCCAGGTAGACGTCGTAGAGCGCGTCGATCTCGGCGACGGCATCGTGCGGGGCAGAGTGCAGCGGCACCAGCACAAACTCCTCCACTTCTGCCAAGGAAGAGAGACATCAGCCCCATGGCCACCCCATGCCACCGCCTGGGGCCACCCATCCCTCCTGCTTACTGGTGCGGGGCACTGAGACCCTCAGGATGAATGGCTCCCGGCTGAAGACGTCCTGGGGGTCCTTATATTGGTAGGTGTCCACAACGGACACGGTGTCTGTCCTGTGGGCCAAAGGGGACAGTGACCTCAGGGCTTGGCACGGCCCCTGTGCCCCCTCCGTGGCATCGGTGGCCCTGCGGTGCCACAGGACAGCCCGCAGCACACCCAGCCCCATTACCTGTAGATGAAGAGGTACATCTCCTTGTAGTTGTCCCGTCCCAGGGGGCCACTGATCTCGTAGTCATACGAGGACGAGGACGCGCTGCAGAGAGGCAAAGGCAGGATGGTGACATGGTGGCACTGTCCTGGGGTGGCCCCGGCATGACCAGGGGGTGGCCAGCTGTGGGCTCAGCACTGGCCAGCCCTGCTGTGCTGTCCCCATGTCCACCGTGCCCCAGCCATAGGGTGACATGGGTGTAGTGGCTCTGAGCCACCCTGCTGTCCCCACCACCCCGAGGTGGCTCCTCGGGCACAGCCAGGCAGGACACAAGGCGACTCCTGCCTCCCCTTTCTCTGCAGGGACGCTCCCCACCTTCATCTGCAGCAAAGCTAAATTAGGTTAACGAGCGGCCCGGGGCCCCGCGGAGCCTGGCGTCACCCTCCCAACCCCGGCTGCTTTGTAGCCATGCTGGAGGGGACACCGAAGGGGTGAGGACATGGGCTGGGCGTACCCAGTCAGAAGCAATTGCCACCTTCCAACACGGCAGTGGCGGCATCCACCTGGCCCCAGCCCCACACTTTTCTCTTCCAAAATCAAACACTCTGCCGACGGACCTTTTTTTTTGGTTTTTTTTTTTCCCTCTGTGGCTCAGGCAGCTCGGTTTTCCCCGCCCAACGCCGGCACCTCAGCCCAGGTGCTCTTGGCCCCGTCTCCTCTCCTACCTGTTGAGCTGCTCCATGAGCTCGGTGACGGCGCTGAGGTCGGAGTCACGCACCTCCTGCACCAGCACAAGGTCGTAGCGGCTCAGGATCTGTGGGGCCAAGAGGGACAGTGATGATGAGAGGGACCTGGATGATGGCTCATGTCCACCCTCTCCTCTCCCACCCATCTTCCAGACGTGCACCCTGATGTGGTGATGGGTGCAGCACCACAAGGACCACCTGCATGACCCTTGGTGCCACAGCAGACGTCCTCATCTAAGTCTGACACCCCACCTTGGTCCCCACAAAGCCTTCATACACCCAGGGCATCCCCAGACCCAGATGCCATCCCATCCATGGCCAGGTCCCTGTGTGTCCCTTGGCACAGGAGCCCCATTTTGGGTCCACCCCAGGGCACAGCCCATCCCCAGCCGCACTCACGTTGACGATGATGCCCGCCACTCTCTCGTTGGCCATCTTGGTGTCACCAAACGACTGGATGTTGAAGGCACCGATGCGCAGTGTGGCGGTGGCCGGGCACAGGAGAGTGATGGTAAACAGGGACAGTGCGAGCACCACGGTCCCCATCCTGGCGGGAGGGATGCTGAGCCTCAGGGATGCAGCAATGAGAGCCGAACCTGGAAAACTGCTTTGGATTTGGGGATAGAGCAAAAAAACCTCCAAGTCAGTCCTTCCCAAGCCCTGGTGGGCAACAGTGTACCGTGGTGGGCGCTGCCTGGAGCAACCTATGGAGCTGGCATGGGCTGTCTGCTGGCTTGCTGGTCCCAGGGGAAGCTAAATTCCATCCCACCGTGGTGAATCACTGGCAGCGCCTCTGCCAGCCCCTGGGGTTGCCCAGCTCCGCTCCCGGCTGGGATGTCTCCAGCACCCACCACCCCCAGCTGCCTCCACCAGCACCCCGGGCTGCTCTGCATCCTTAAACTTGATTGCTGTTGGGATAAGGGAGCAAATCCTCATGCCAGCTCATCCCAGCTCATCCCAGTCCCTCCCAGTTCACAGCTGAAGGTGCCAAGCCCCGATGTGTCCTTACCTTGCCGAGCGCGCGGCGCTTCTGCCCTCCCGGCAGCAGGACGGGCGGCTTTATTACCGACGGATGTTCCGGCAAAGCCGGATGAGTCGGACACCCCTGGGGGGTTTTTGGCACGGCTTTGGGCCTCTTCCGACATTGGGAAACCAAAACCACACGGGGCGGCAGGGTGGAGACAGCGTAACTGCTCCTGGGACGAGGTGGAGAAGGGCGAACGGGGAGGTGCGGCGATGCTGGGGCATCCCAGGAGGGCTGGGTGGACATGTGGGGCTCGGGGTGCTGCAGCTGGGGTGGCCCCCGGGGTCTCAGCGCTGGGACATGGTGGCCAGGCAGGTAGTAAAGGGCAGGTGGCCTTAATGCGGGTGATTCAGACGGTGTAATTAGAGGGGAGAGAAGGAAATGATGGGGTGTCTGGGTCAGGCAGGCTGAGCACCGCCAGCCTCGGCAAGAGGGGGGCAGCTGAAAACCCCCGCACTGGCCCCGGGGGGTCTCCGAAAACACCCCCACTCGTGACACAAAGCAGCCCCAGTTGTCACTTGAAGCGGCCCCACTGGTGACCCCAAGCAGCCCCAGCGGAGCCGGCAGCCCCGTGGCGTCACCCCGGCACGCGGCGTCACCCCAGCCAAGGGGGCGGACAGCCCTGCCGGCGGTGGGGCGGGCAGGGAGCTGCTGGCTGCTCGTGCCGGGGCTTGCCGGGCTCTCACCTGCACCACCGGGTTTTGCATCCTCACACCCAGTCACGGGATGAGTCCGGTGTCCCCCAGCGCCGTGCTGGCACCGAAACCCATCCCTGGGGAGGCACCGAACCCCCTGGGAGCTGACTCACGTCCTCTGCCTCCCCCCACCCTCACTGTCAGCGACCTGTCAGCCCCATCAGGGCTCCTGCTCCCAAGCCAGCAGAAGAGCATCCTGCCACCTGGCAAAGGGACCAAATCCTGCCCGGATCCTCTCAGGCCCTTCCCAGTGTCCCTGCTTTTGCCGCTGGCAGCTCAGAGGGGAGTAATGTTTGCCACGTGGGGCTCTCGATGGCAGGAGGGGACCTCCACCCCCAGGGACCACCCTGGCTCCAGCCGCAGCGGGGCTGCCCCTGGCAGGAGGACGGGGAGCTCGAGTGCTGTGGGCTGCTGGAGGGGCTGAAGGGACCCTCCCCCCAGAGCTTCAAGGGCTGGAAATGCTCATTTTTTAATGGAAGCCAAGAGCATCCCACTCCCACAAGACCCCGAAGAGCGGCTCCTTGCAGAGGCGGTGGGCAGCTCGGCTGGCACTGGTGGTGCGTGGGCTCCCACGAGGGATGCAGGTGTGTGCCAGGGCATCCCGGTAGCCACCGGCACGGGGACGGGCTCAGCGGGCTTTCAGGGTCACCTCCACCGGGAAATGGTCGCTGACGGCCAAAGCCTGGATGTGGGGGGGGAAAGCTGAGCTCATCTGGACCCACTGCTGGGACCCAAATGCTCCTCTCCAACCCCAGAATTGGGACCAGACCCCAAAATGTTCAGGCTGGGGGGGTTGCATCGGTGCAGGGGTTGGGGTCAGGCCACCCTGGGGTGTGCCCTGGGGAACAGGGAGCCCACCCCTGCTCCTGGGAGGTGGGGTGGGCTGGATCCCGGTGCTGGTGGGCTCGCACTCCCCAGCCCCTCACTCACATCCTTGGTCTGGAGCTGGAAATTCTTCTGGAAGTTGTTGACGGTGGCGGAGCCGGGCTCGATGTCTTGGCGCAGCGCGGTGCCACAGGCGACGATGCTGCCGGGGTGTCATGGAGGTGTCAGTGCCCACCGGTCCCCACCCCTGTGCCATCCCCTGTGCCACTGCCACGGCACCCACCGGTCGTAGGCGCAGTTGGTGTCGGCAACAGTGGTGTCGGCGCTGTCGGGGATGAGCCACTCGCAGGTGTTGAGGGAGCGCAGGCGGATGGACGGCCACTGGGAGCTGGTCACGTAGGAGCAGTCGGCGTTGAAGTCGCCCAGGAAGAGGATGTTCTGTGGAGCAACGTGCTGTGTCCCTGCCCACAGACCTTGTGGGGCAGCAAGGGCTCCCTAGAATCTTACCGGATCCCCCCTAGGTCTCCTCAGCACAGGAGGACAAGCCCCAAGTGATGGCAGCAGAGCCACCCAGCAGTTCCCTGCATGGACATTGCCAGGGTGGCACCTGCACCCATGGGTACGAGAGGTCTCCCGTGGGTCACGTCCATCCCAGGATGGCCACCAGGATGTGTGGGGGCCATACCCCATATCCCGGTTGCCCCAGGGAGGAGCCAAACTCTCCTCTGCCCCTTACGTTAGTTGCCCACTTGTTGATGACATCAGTGTAGACGTCGTAGAGCGCGTCGATCTCTTCTGCCGCGCTGCTGGGCTCAGCATGCAGGGGCACCAGCACGAACTCCTCCACCACTGCCGGATAAGTGGCCATCAGCCCCCAACTCGGGTGCAGTACCCAAGAAGAGAGCAGGAAACCCAAGAGACCACCCTGGGCCAAGCCCCAGCTACAGGCCAGGAGAAGCTTCTAAAGGGAAAGGGTGCACTGGCTTCTTCTGATCTGCCTGTCCTCCAGGCTGGGATTTCCAGTGGGGAGCTGCATCCCTCTGCACATGGTTTGGGGTTTGCTGCTTGTTTGCCATCAGTTTTTCCAAACCACTGTGGTTTTGGGAAGGAGATGGGGGTGGGAGAGAGGTGGAAGAGCGTGTGCCCTGAGGAGGTTCTTGGGGGGTGGAGGTGATGGCATGGGGTAGGAGATGAAACAAGATGGGGTATGGGACATGATGGGAGATGACATGTGATGGGAGATGGAACATGACAGGAGTTGGCACATGATGGGAGATGGCAGGCAATGGGGGATGGCACCCAACTGGAGGAAGCAGATGGTGGGATATGGCACAAGGTGGGAGGCAGCAGGTGACAGGATGTGGGACATGGTGGGAAACAACTGGAGATGTGAGGTGGCACCCAGCTGCAGAGAATGCATGGTGGGAGATGGCAGGCAATGGGAGGAGGTGGGAGATGGAAACAGCATGCAGCGCCGGCCATGCTGGGCAGGACCCCTGAGCACCCATGGGTGGGAGAAGGCCCAACAGCAGTGAAGGACCCTAGTGGAGCCCCTGAGCTAGGCTCTAGTGTGCAACCCCCCCTGCCTGGCAAACACAGCTCTGGGCACCCCAGCATGGGGGACCCCATGCCAGGTCTGAGCAGCCCCCAGTGCCAGCTCTGCTCACGTGTGGTGGGTGAGGAGAACTTCACAATGAAGGGCTCCCTGCTGAAGGTATCAGTCCCACAGGGCTCACAGCCATCGTCATAGTAGTAGCTTCCCAGCACGGAGACCAGGTCCGACCTGAGGGAGGAGAGCAGGGCAGCCCCCAGCACTGCTCCTGCCACAGCCAGGGCCCCAAAGGGGTCTCACCGGGCTCTGGTGGCTTCCCTTACCTGTAGACGAAGAGGTACTGCTCCTTGTAGCTGGTCCGACCCAGGGGTATGCTGACCAAAAAGTTGTATGGGTGTGGGGACGCGCTGGGAGCAAGATGTGGAGGGTGTGAGAAGAGTCTCCCGGTGCCCCCCAGCACCCATCAGGTTCTCTCCAGCCGAGCTGGAGGTGTTCTGGCCCAGCAAGATGCCATCTGGGACCTGCCCCAGAATCCCATTTGCAGGCACTCCCCACCCTGGGCCATTGGGGTCACCTGTTGAGCTGGCTCATGAGCTTCTCCACGCTGCTCAGGTCAGCATCCCGGACCTCCTGCACCAAGGTGATGTCGTACCCCGACAGGATCTGGGGGGACAAGCTTAGAGCTGCTCACCCCTGGCCAGGACCTGCTCATGGGGACACCCATGGGTGCCTAGGCTGGGCTGTGAAGGCTCCCAGGCTGGCAACAGGAGGGCAACAGAGACCCCAGAGCCAGTGAGGGAGCTCCTCTGCTGGTGTCCTCTGGCTTGGAAGAACCCTGGGGTGACAGAGTGCCCTCTAACACCCATCTGTCTACCACCCACCATCCCAGCAGCTCCTTGTCCACAGGCTGCTCTGAGTGAGGAACCTGGGCAGCATCAAGCATCACCCATCCTTGGCTGGGGACCGGCAAGAGTGGAGATGGCCCGAGGCTGGTGATGGTGATGGGGGAAGAGCAGATGGATGGATAGATGGATGGGGGGGTGTGGACAGATGGATTGGTGGGGGGGTAGATGCACGGATGGACACACAGATGGATGGATGCCTGCAGAAAGCTGGGCAGAGACCCCAGAGCCAGCAAGGAAGCTCCTCTGCTGGTGTCCTCTGGCTTGGAAGAACCCTGGGGTGACAGAGTGCCCTCTAACACCCATCTGTCTACCACCCACCATCCCAGCAGCTCCTTGTCCACAGGCTGCTCTGAGTGAGGAACCTGGGCAGCATCAAGCATCACCCATCCTTGGCTGGGGACCGGCAAGAGTGGAGATGGCCCGAGGCTGGTGATGGTGATGGGGGAAGAGCAGATGGATGGATAGATGGATGGGGGGGTGTGGACAGATGGATTGGTGGGGGGGTAGATGCACGGATGGACACACAGATGGATGGATGACTGTAGAAAGCTGGTGTCCAACCACCCCAAACTGGCTGCAACCCAGAGACCAGAGAGTGGCCAGGACTTCTCCTCTCCCCCCAGCACTCACAGAGACAATGATATTTGCGATAGTCTTGTTGGACATCTTGGTGTCTCCAAACGCCCTGATGTTGAAGGCGCTGATCTTCAGCGTGACGGCCACATGCAGCAGGAGAGCTGCAACCAGCAGCGACAGCACCAGCTTCGAGGATGTCATCCTGCGTGCAGAGGGGCAGGGATGGGCTCAGCCCTCCTGGCTGAGAGGGGGATTTGTCACAGGTGATGGGGCTGGCCAGGATATTCCCACTGGCCGTACTGGTTTCACTGGGAGGTGTCTGTTTTTCCAGTGAACCACCAGGACCAAGGGGTGGTGGACCCCCATCCAGCCCTCTGGCTGCTGCCTCACGCCGGGTGTCATCCTGCCTGTCCCTCCTGGAGGGAGGCCAGACCGACCGCAACACCGGAGCGGAGAGTTCACTGGCAAAGGTGCAAATGCCACTTCATGGTGACACAGAGAAGTCACTTCCTCAGTCACTGCTCTCAGCCTGGACACCTCTCCTGACCCAGGATGGGTGGCAGTGGCTGGGGGACACCAAGGTCCCTTGGCTTGTGCCTCTCCCACCCCTCACTGGGTCTGTGCTGGAAACCCAAAAGACCCTACAGCAGCCATGCTGGGACAGAGCAAGGGATGGAAACCCACCTCCTTCCCTGCCTGCAGCATCCTCACCTGGGGTATCCTGCCCACCCGTGCCCTCCAGCACAGCCCCTGCCCCATCCTCACCCAGGCTGGAGTCCCTGGGACCCCCTGCTGAGGCAGCATGGTGGCTCCCACCCACAGGGAAAGGAATTAGGGAAGTATTTCCCATTGTGCGCAGTCCCTGGGGTAATATTTCACCAGGGGAAGGGACTTGAGTCCTTCCCAAACCCAGGTGCTCCAAGCAGGCTGTGGGGACCGGCAAACACCCCAGCTTTTGGCAACCCCGCAGCCTGGGGAAGGGCTTGCTGCCCCCCGGGCTTGCTTTTTCGTCTGGAGCAGCTGCTCTGTTTAAATCCTCACGTTTCCCCACTTGCATCCTCCCCGTGGCTGCAAACCCTACCATCCGTGAGGTTGCAGCCCCTGTGTTTGGTAACAGGATGATTTGGCAACGCCACGATTTGGTAATGCCACGATTTGGCCATGCCACAAACTGCTGCAAGCCCCCCAATTCCTCCCCCCTCCCCTGCCCCCAGCTCCCCCAGGGGAGGCAGCAGCCTCCCCAGCCTCCCCAGGCAGAGGCACCCATGGAGGATGGTGTCCATCCCGGGTAACGCTGAGTGAGCTGCATCTGGGCTCAGCCCCGGCGGAGCATCTCGGCAAAATGAAGCCAAGGTGGAGAAGGTGACGGTGGAGAGGGGAGCAGGAGGAGAGGGGAGCGGGACATACCTTTGGTGTCCTCCAAGGTCTCTGGAAGGGGAACGAGCCGCACCTGCATTTATCAGGAGGGAGAGGCTTGGCGTGCCAAGTGGTCACCCAGCCAAGGAGCGGCCGAGGCCGCAGGCTCCATATGGCATTTTTCACGGAAACAAAGGTCTGCTCAGTGAAAGAAACAACCCTTTCAACTGGTGCCAGCACCTCCCGCTGCAGGTACGGCAGGGAATGCGCCCGAATCCATAAAACCGCTGACAAGAGACCTGCGAGGTGTGAGCGGATCCCAGGGACCACTCGTGGGGAACGGCGGCTCCCCGGTACGGGGCGTGGGCAGCCCCCAGTCATCACCAGCCACAATTCTTCTTAAAAACTGTTTATTTCACCAATTCCACGTTTCCAACGAGCTGTCTTCAGGCGAGCGTGCTGGGGTTGATGGGAGCCCACCAGCTCTAGTCTTCAGGTGGTGGATCCAAGCTGGGAGCCCTGAAAAACAAGGGGTCCCTGCTGTGGTGCCTGCCCTACCTGGGGGGGACAGCACCCCACAGGCTCCCCTAGCTCACCCCAGCCCTGCCCCTGTGGCCTTGGATGACGTCCTGGCGCTGCCCGGCCCCCCAAGGCAGCTGCCACCTTTCCCAGGAGGTCCATGCTGGGCCTCTGCAGTGCTCAGTGCTCCTTAGGGGCTGGGGGCTCCCTGCCAGCCCCTCCTGCCCAGGGCTAAGCACCCCAAAGAGCAGGGCCAGGACCTGCACCCTGCTCCTCACAGTGGTGGGGCTGGACCTAGACACCCCCTTCCAGCAGGGCTGTGGGTCCCCAGGTCAGCCCCAGGTCCAGGACAACCCCCCCAGGCTAAGGTCCCCCACTGTGCTGGATGGAACCCACCCTGGGCCCAAGAATCCCCAGGTCCAGGTCCTCCCCAGGCCAAGACCCCCCAGGTCAGCCCCAGGACCAGACTCCCCCCCAGCCAAGATCCACTCAGGCTCAGACCTCCCAATCCCCTGTGCCAAGACCCCTCCACATCCAGGCTCCTCCAGGTCCAGGTCCAGGTCCAGGTCCAGGTCCAGGTCCAGCCCCCACACCCCAGGCCAAGATCCCCTTAGCTCCATGACCCCCCCAGACCAAGATGCCCCCAAGGGCCAGCTCCTCAGGCCAAGAGCCTCTCAGGGATGGAACCCCCACAACCTCGGGCCAAGATCCCCCAAGGGTCAGCCCCAAGAACTGTCCCCCCTGGAACCACAAGCCACTTACTCACTGTAAGAATATCAAAGTCAAAGAGGTTGCTTGCTAAAGCTGGTTATCTTGTCTGCACACCAGAACCTTTCCCCAGACTAAGATGCCCCCAAGGACCAGCTCCCCAGGCCAAGAGCCCTTCAGGGCTGGACCTCTCACTCCCCAAAGGGTCAGCCCCAGGACCTGGCCCCCTAGCACCAAGAGCCCCCCAGGGCTGGAGACCCCCACCCTTGGGCCAAGATCCCTAAG